GACTCAATTTGCACTATTTCTGGCAGTCTGCAAAGGCCCTTTGTCATCAGTACACTTTACAAGGGATTCAGCGTGGTGTAAAAGTTTGAGTGTTGGACTATGACTCTGGAGACCAGGATTCGAATCCCAGCTCAGCCATGGAAACCCACTGGGTGACCGTGGGCAAGTCACACTCTCTCAGCCTCAGAGGATGGCAATGGGAAACCCTCTCTGAAGAAGCTTGCCAAGAAAACCCCATGATAGTGGGGTCGCCTTAGGGTCTCCATAAGTCAGGAAACAATGAAGTCACACAACAATGAAGTCACACAACAACACACTTTACAAAGATGTCCTCTTCTGTCTTAGGTAGTTGGTGCTTTTTATTGACCCACACTTTTCTTCTCCCCAGTCCCTTCCCACTCCATTACACTGCCTTTAACTGCACTCCGCTCTGGTGCGCCAACAAACTACCATTCCCAGAATTCCATAGCCTTGAGCCATGGCAGTTAAAGCGGTGTCAAACTGGATACAAATCAAGATGGAACACAGGTCCTGAAATTCTCCCAAAGGTTTGTATAAGTGTATAGACAGAGTGAACGCATTTACAGTATAACATGTGGACACCCCCAGTGAGCATCATATTCACTTAGCAATACCATATTTATGAAAGTCAACTTAAATATATACACAGCTCATTCATTTATATAGGGATTATTATTTTAATAACGATTGTTCCCCAGGAGTGGGGGCTGTTGACCATGACTGGGCTGAATTTGGTAATGTTAACAACGATGGTCCAAAACACACTGCAGAAATAATCCAGTTCTAACTGCCCTGATTCAATGCTAGGGAATTCTGGGAACTGTAGTTGAGACTTCTCTGTCAGTGGCACAATAAAGTACAACTCCCAGGATTCCCTAGCACTGAATCAGGGCAATTAAAGCAGTCTCAGACTGGATTATTTCTGCAGTGTGTTTTGGACCAGTGTTGTTGTTGTTGTTGCTCTGTGCCTTTAAATCGTTTCTGACTTATTGGATCATGGGGGTTTTCTGGGCAAGTTTCTTCAGAGGGGGTTTGCCATGGCCATCCTCTGAGGCTGAGAGAGTGTGACAATTCCCAGAATTCCACAGCATTGAGCCCGAGCAGTTAAAGCGGTGTCAAACCGGATTATTCTCGTAGTGTGGCTGCAGCCATAAAGAAAGGAAGGGGAGAAGCGAGACCCCCCCCCCACAGACCCTCTCTGCTGATGCTGCTGATGGTGTCGTTGCCTCGGCCGCTGTTCCGCGGGGATCCCGTCCCTTCCCCTCCGCTCCCCTCCAACGCCGGAGCTCTTCCTCAGGCCTCACCGGCGCTGTCATTCCGCTCGGCTTCCATCCGGGCACCTCGCGCGTGACGTCAGAGGCCCGCCCCCGCCACCGGGCCAATCAGAGGGAAGGAGTGACCCAACCACGTGAGGGCGGCGCGGCCCTTCACTCTTTTCTCTATCTACTGAGGAAAAAAGCTGGCAAGCGAGAAGGCAATGTGGTCTAGTGGTTTGAGCGTTGGACTAGGACTCTGGAGAGCAAGGTTCGAATCCCGGCTCAGCCATGGAAACCCACTGGGGGACCTTGGGCAAGTCGCACTGTCTCAACCCTAGAAGATAAAGGAAACTCCCCCTTTGAATAAGCCTTCCATGAAGTGACCAGACAATGTCCTCTTTTTCCAGGACTCGTCCTCCATTTCAGCCTTCTGTCCAGGAGGAATTCCAAAATGCCCTCCATTTTGAGCAGGACTGGGAAGCACGAATTTACATTTCTAGGAGTGTCTCTGGCTTTTATTTGGTCATACCCTACATCTTTTTTCTTGACTGTCCTATATTTTGGTGGTGCCTTGCCCTCCTTTGCCATGATACCACTTTGGACCAATCACTCTCAGCCTGGCCTATTTCACAGGATTGTTGTGAGGATAATGCTGGGAAGATGGAGAGTAACTTCAGCAGAGGAAAATCAAAGTCAAAACACTACTAATCATTGCTGTCATCATCACCATCTGTTTTATGTACACGACCTTGTGGGATCTACTTGGGGGAAAACAATATAACTAAGTAGTATAATGTATGGTAAGTATATGTAGTTGTTGAGACCTCAAAGATCTGACTATAGGATGTCTGAATAATTGTTTATCTCGGTGTTTTGAAATTTCAGGATTGCTATGACATGAAGAAAAGGTGTGTTGCCTTCATGATGTGTGTAACAGAAGGCAGGCCTGATGCAGAGAATGATATTGAAAAAATAAACAAGTGGTTTAAAATGCTTGATTTTAAAATCCTAGAAGAGTGCCAAATTCCAACTCGAGAGTTAAGCATTTTGAATGTTAAATTTGCTGAGGATGCTTGAAATAAAGCATGCAACTATATTACAGCATAAGAAACTTAAGGAGTTGAATACAAGAAATATGTGAAATCCACAAGAATTCAATCACCATTCACAACAGTCAATATAATATGGATATCACATTACAAAACAAATCAAATTTTCATATCCATTAGAAATTCAAATAGTTATTCATATAGTGGCTGGTAAATTATATTTCATTCCCCACACAGTACCTCTTCTCCTACATGCTACACTCTGCTTGAAAAACCAAGCAACTAGCTTTCCAGATTCTGCTGAAAAATTCTGTACACTAGTACCGTAGTTTTTGTGAGCTTACCAACAAAGTTAGTCTCATCATCACTATTTCATTTGTGTGTGTATGTGCCTTCAAATCACCTCTTGACTTATGATGAACCCATTATTTTTGTTGGAAAATAAATACTCAGTGGTAGTTTGTCATTTCCTTCATCTCAAATTTATCCCACAGCACCTGATATTTCCTTGTGATTTCCTTTCCAAGTCCTAACCAGGCATGACTCTTTTTATCATGGATAATGGATTTTGAAAATGAGTTGACAAAATCGTAACATGTAAGAATGAGGTGGGTCTGCAAAAGTGAAGGCGAGTATGCAGAATTGAGAGCAAGTATAACCTGTGCCACTGACAAAGGGCTGCTATGAAGGTGTGCCTTCCCTCCTCAATGATCTTATAGCAAACAGGAGACTGGTGTGGTTCCTATTCATCAAGAAGAGCTGGCTTTGCTCCTTCTTGCCAGGAGGGACATTGGGTTCCAGCTGCCAGGTGTCCTGGGATTTCAGAGCTAGGAAGGAACGCTCAGCTGTCGTCTGGCACCAAGCTAGTGGCTATGGATTTCTGGGTTCTCCTTGTGTCTCCTTAAAAGCAGGGAGAGCCTTTAAATTAGATGCTGATGTGGTTTTGCAATTTCAAGACTGTTACCTTAATTTACCACCATGGCACTACCTTTCTGTGGTAGAATCGTGGAATCATAGAGTTGGAAGAGACTTCAGGGGCCATCAAGTCCAAGCCCCTGCCATGCAGGAACACCCAAATCAAAGCACCCCTGACAGATGACCATCCAGCCTCTGTTTAAAAACCTACAAGGAAGGAGCATTCTGGGAATGAAGCAGGAGAGTGACTGACTGAATTTTGCAAGACCAGAAGTTTGTTCATGGCAAACACATTCTTCAAGCAACCAAAGAGGCAACCAGGAGCTGGAGGAAATCTGGACTGAAGCCAGGGACATTGTGAGGGAAATAAAGACAATCATGCTTGGTAAGATAGAAGGCAGTAGGAAAAGAGGGAGACGTCATTGCAGATGGATAGATTAAATCAAGGAAGCCATGCCTTGAGTTGGAAATTTTGAGCAGCACTGTTGATGATAGGGTGACTTGGAGGTCTCTCATTCATAGGGCCACCAGAAGCCAAAGTTGACTTGACGGCAGTTAAGAACAACAAAAACCCTTGATTTAAAAGCCAGGATGGTATAATGGTTTAAGTGTTGGAATATGGAATACCAGGTTTTGAATCTCCGCTCAGACGTGGAAACCTGCTAGATGACCTTGAGCAAGTCCAACTTTCAGCCTCTGAAGAAGGCAATGACAAACCCACTCTGAACAAATTATGCCAAGAACACCCTATGATAGGTTTGCCTTAGAGCTGCCATAAGTCAGAAAGGAAGGCACAGAACAACAAGCCTTACTTTACTTGCTTATCATGAGCTACCAATCCACAGAGGTTTTGTTGACCCTCATCTTGCCTTTTGCCTTTTTGTTCCCAATAAGTATCATACAGAATAGGGTAGCACTACAAATCCTAATCATAGAAGGAGATACATCAGCAGTAAATAATTGCATTAAACACAACACAATTTTTGAGAAAATGTCTAGCTTTGAGATGAATCCTTTAGTATTCCGTTCACTACTGTGAATGGGGTAAAGCTGCTGTGGGAATAAACAGTATTGTGTTTCTGTTAAATCATAGGATTTGTTTCTAAACTCCTTCTGTATGTATATGTTAATGTCTTTGCCCTCTCATCTATTTTGGCCACTGGGCCACCCAACTAGGAATTTCAGTCTTCTAGAACTGCTATACACTCAGGCGTATTGTTTGTGTACAAATAAAGAGAGCCCCAACCGCATATGTCAAAACACAAATGCTGTGCAGCTGTATATTTATTCATATTTATTAATTAAAATATTTATATCCCACCCATTATCGTGAGCACTCAGGGTGATATACAAGTAAAACAATACAGACAACATAAAACAGTTCCAGATTTAAAACAACAAGCCTAACCATCATTGGTTTAATACTTTTTTAAGAGGTGGGAGGGTCTGGGGCTTTGGATAGTATTTTAACATATTGTATTTTATTTTAAACATATTTTAACTATTGTAAGCTGCCCCGATTGTTTGACAGAGGGGCAGGATATAAATAAAATTTATTATTATTATTATTAAAATAATTTAAACAAGATAAAAGCATAGCTTGGAAACCACATAACTTATTAGTGTATATGTCAGGAACAGCTTGTGGTCCAAGTAACAGAATGTTTTACTGCATCCCAGGATTTCAGAATGAGATCTCCAGGGTCACAAAAATATGTGTGTAACTATACCAGGCCCAGAAAATCATGTTGAGGGACATGACATTGTACTACTTTAATATAAACAGTTATTTTCATTGTTGTTGTTTTTAAAAAGGATGCCTATTGTAGAATTCCCTTAAGTTCTTGTGAGTGGAAATTGAGGGCGGGGGATATTAATGAGCTAACTTGCACATGTCCTCACTTAATCTAAAAGATGTTGAGTTTTTAGCTAAGTGACACTTTATATGATACGCAGCTGTGTTTCTTGATTTGTTCAAAATGGTAGGGAGATTTTAAAATGGAAGTCAGATTGGAGATGCCAACATAGAAAACATGTGATTAGAGTCAACAATCTAAAGTCAGAAATGTGTCAGCCTAAAGACCAAGACCACTATTACTCTACCTAAAGTAACTAAAGGAACCAGATGAAGGCTATCTAAGGCAGTGCTTTTGGGGTATTGATGTGGGGGACCAGCATTATTTTCTTTCTAGCTTGCCAGGGATCAGTGCCATATTTGCACCCGTTGGCTACACTGTTTCTTTCCTTTTTTTAAATACTTTGCAAATCAGCAGCCGATGGCTTGCAGACCGACAGTGGTCCAGGGACCATCCACTTTGTGTAGCACTTATATAAGGGATGACAATGTAGATGGCCAGAGATCTGATGTTCATAAGCTAGGTGACATGATTTATCATGTAGAATTCCTTAAGAAACTTTTTAAAGTCAAAAATTAATTTAAAATAGTTAATTTGGCAGTAATGGTGGCTTTGTATGATTATAAAAATTCAGTTTATTTTCATTTGATATTGCAACTTGGATGCTTTAAGTATTTTGTTAAAGAAATAACCTAGATCAAAAGGGATTTTTGAAAATCTTCTGAAACCAATGAAAACAAAGGATTCGATGAAGAAACAAATGACACTTGTATTTTGTAGTGCTTCTCCTTTATTGTTTTAAAAAATAAAGTTTTTTTATCTTTGAGCAATTATTGTTGTGTATTAATTTCCTACTTTATTCCATAGATACAAGCACAGTAGAAGAATTTATGTAATGGTGTTTTTCTTTACAGTACCATATTCTGATCACTTGAGTGCACATAATTGTTTTGATAGTTTATTTGCTAAGATTCTTTTACTCATCAAGTGGGCAAACATATTACTTCTAGAGATGTTTTATGTTCCCCTTGGGTGTTAACTGAAAATGCAGTACACATGAAGAAAAATGTCTAATACACACAGGGACACACCAGCAAATATATGCACAAGGACATTTTTACTTCTTGGCTGCAAATTGTCAGTAGAACGTATTCTTCGTAATCAAAATTCCAACAAGAAATATCTTCTTAACATCTGTTTAATATCTAGAAAAATATATGTCCAGATTGGAGAACCAGAAATAACATTGACCTTAGTGGTCATAGAATCATAGAATCATAGAGTTGGAATAGACCACAAGGGCCATCCAATCCAACCCCCTGCCATGCAGGAACTCCCAATCAAAGCACCCCTGACAGATGGCCATCCAGCCTCTGCTTAAAGACCTCCAAGGAAGGAGACTCCACTACTCTCCGAGGGAGTGTGTTCCACTGTCGAACCGCCCTTACTGTCAGGAAGTTCCTCCTAAT